TGTTCCGGCCCGATGCCAGACAGTCCAGTTTCTCCCCGTGTGAGTCTGGGTCCCCAGAGTCTTGCCTGGAACTGGAGTCAGAGCAATCAGGAGCTTGTATCTCCCTCCCGATTGAAAAAGACAACAGCGCACCCAAATTGCCAGCCTGTTTCTGCGTGCCTCCCTACCTCCGCACTTCTGCACCTCCGCACCTCCTCCCAGTCTCAGTGCGCCTTTCTCTTTCCTTCTTCCACTCAGCCAGCCTTCCCATGGTTCTGGATGATATCCGTTTTGTCTTTTAGTTGTAGTTTTGATGTGGTTGTGTGAGGCAGCAAGTTCAGGTGTTTACCTGTGCCGCCATCTTGGTTGTCTCCTGGTTTGATTCCTGATCAGGGCATTTGCCCAGTTTGCAGGCTCCATCCCCAGTAAGGGGCATGCAGGAGGCAGCCAATGAATGATTTTTCTCTCTCATTGATATATCTCCCCCTCTCCTTTCCTCTCTCTTAAAAAATGTTTTTTAAGTGTTTGACTAGAGTCAAACAAGCGTTACCGAGGCTGACTGGTAATTTGTGTGTGTGCTCTGCTGGTGTACAACAGAATACAGCCTTCATTGGTAACCTTGTCACGAATCCTTCCCTTTCAGGTCACAGCGGTTGCACAGCAGAATCAAGGGGAGGTCCCTGAACCCCAGGATATGAAAGTAGCTGAGGTTCTTTTTGATGCCGCTGATGCGAATGCTATTGAGGAGGTAAACCTCGCCTACGAGAATGTCAAGGAAGTGGATGGACTGGATGTTTCCAAAGAAGGCACAGAGGCGTGGGAGGCCGCCATGAAGAGATACGACGAGAGGATTGACAGGGTGGAGACCCGGATCACTGCTCGCCTTCGCGATCAGCTCGGCACGGCCAAGAATGCTAACGAGATGTTTAGGATTTTCTCCAGGTTCAACGCACTGTTTGTCAGGCCTCACATCCGAGGGGCCATCCGTGAATACCAGACCCAGCTAATCCAGCGCGTGAAAGACGACATCGAGTCTCTTCACGACAAGTTCAAAGTCCAGTACCCACAGAGTCAGGCGTGTAAGATGAGCCACGTGCGCGATCTGCCGCCTGTGTCTGGGTCCATCATCTGGGCAAAGCAGATTGACAGACAGCTGACCGCCTACATGAAGCGTGTGGAGGACGTCCTGGGCAAGGGCTGGGAGAACCACGTGGAGGGGCAGAAGCTGAAGCAGGATGGCGACAGTTTCCGAATGAAGCTCAACACTCAAGAAATATTTGACGACTGGGCCCGGAAGGTGCAGCAGCGGAACCTGGGCGTCTCGGGGCGCATCTTCACCATCGAAAGCACCAGGGTTCGTGGCCGATCGGGGAACGTCCTCAAGCTTAAGGTCAACTTCCTCCCCGAGATTATCACACTTTCAAAAGAAGTTCGAAACCTCAAGTGGCTTGGTTTCCGAGTCCCTCTGGCGATTGTGAACAAGGCTCATCAAGCCAACCAGCTCTACCCGTTTGCCATCTCCCTGATTGAGAGCGTGCGCACCTACGAGCGCACCTGTGAGAAGGTGGAGGAACGGAACACCATCTCTCTGCTGGTGGCCGGCCTGAAGAAGGAGGTGCAGGCCCTGATCGCAGAGGGCATCGCCTTGGTGTGGGAGTCCTACAAACTCGACCCATACGTGCAGCGGCTGGCGGAGACTGTCTTCAACTTCCAGGAAAAGGTGTGTTCCGGGCAGTTCTCCGTGGCCCAGGAACAGCTGGCTCACCATGTTGGTCTCCCGTGGCTGCGGGATTGAAACAGAGACTGTCTTCAACTTCCAGGAAAAGGTGTGTTCCGGACAGTCCTCCCGTGACCCAGGAACAGCTGGCTCACCATGTTGGTCTCCCATGGCTGTGGGATTGAAACACGGGAGACGTGGGAGCTGAAAGGGAGAAAGGGCCACTGGGCTGTTTGACAGGATGAGGGCTTTAGGGAGGCCCCTGAATAACTAACACCTGAGTTTAGAAATCAGTGGAGAGATGACAGGCACAGGAGTCGAAGAGCGAAACGAGAGCTTTGTTCCTGATAAAGCTGCCTGGAGAGGCGCTTGCTGTCGCTCCACCCTGACCTAGACTTCCACCCAGGCTCCCGCACAGCTGGCCAGTGTAGGTCCTGCGCCTGACGCCTCAAGCAGGCCAGAATTCGTGCGTCTGGTGCACGCTGGCTCCCGAGAGGAGGACGGAAGCCAGAGTGGAGCCCATCTTACTTCTCCCAGACTTATCAAGCAGAGGCCGTCCCTCCCGTGAGCAGGAGGGAGGGGCAAGAAGCTGACAGTCTCCATACATTTCCCTTCCCTCTCACCCAGTAGGATTAGCTGTTTATGGAAAAACTTCTCTGCCTCGAGCATTTGTCAGTTGAGAAGAATGTACATAAAAATTAAGGGATGGAGTGAGTAGATGTTTTAAATATTAAATATACTTCCTTTAGGTGGATGATCTGCTGATTATTGAAGAAAAAATAGACCTGGAAGTGCGTTCCCTGGAAACCTGTCTGTACGATCACAAGACTTTCTCAGAGATCCTGAACAGGGTCCAGAAAGCTGTGGACGACCTGAACCTGCACTCGTACTCCAACCTGCCCATCTGGGTCAACAAGCTGGACATGGAGGTGAGGCTGGGCACTGAGTGGGTCCTCACTGACATGGAGGTGAGGCGGAGAGACAGAGAGACATATCGATCGGTTGCCTCCCACACACGAGATCGAGCCCGCAATTGAGATACGTGCCCTTGATGGGCATCTAACCCGGGACCCTTCAGTCCATGGGCCAATGCTCTATCCGTTGTACCAAACCAGTTAGGCCTTTCCTTCACTTATTTTTTTCTTTTATTTTATTTCATTGATCAGCTGCCTCCTGCACACCCCACACTGTGACCTCCTGGTTCATAGGTTGATGTTCAACCACTGAGCCACGCCAGCTGGGCATGCTTTCCTTCCCTTTTAAAAAGGGTAAATCAGTGGCGGTGTATTCACACAAAGGGAGACCAACAGAGGGAAAGCTGACAAAGCCCACTCTACTGAGTCCACTGACAGTCTTAGCCTTCCTCACAGCCGCCCTCACAGCATCCCAGGTGGTCCTGTGGCCAAGGCCGACTTTTCACAAAGACACACAGGCGTCCTTTTCGCAGAAACTTACTTGTCTCATTCTAGGTCAGAGAGAAGATTTTGTTCTTTACTTGTAACAGAAAGTGGTCAACATGGAGGGTGATAGATGTTGATCAGACTATCGTGATCATTTTGCAACATATACAAATATCTAATTACTAGTGGCCCGGTGCATGGATTCGTGCTCATTGAAAGGAAATTAATTAGAAGGTGGTGGGCAGGGTGGGACTGGGCAAGATGGGCTGGACATGCCCTGGAGCCAACCTCCCCAGGTCCCACCCCGGCCAGCCACACCTGGGCCAGTGCTGCAGCTCAAAGGGCGTCTCTGGAGTGAGCGGGGTCCCTCCAGCAGATGGGTTCCCTTGGCCTGGCCTGCGGGGATTAGGCTAAAACTGGCTCTCCAACATCCCCCAAGGGGTCCCAGATTGCAAGAGAGCGGTTCTTGGGTTCTCACCGAGAACCACTGCTGCCGTCACCGCAGCTCAGCAGCTCCTGTATTGCGCGTCATAGCTACCAGTCAGGTGGTGAGCGGTTCTTGGGTTCTCACCGAGAACCACTGCTGCCAAGTTACCGCAGCTCAGCAGCTCCTGTGTTGAGCGTCTGCCCCCTGGTGGTCATTGCGCGTCATAGCTACCGGTCAGGTGGTTGGATGGTCACTTAGCCTTTTACATATATAGATTATGCCATGCCTGAAACTAATGTAACATTATGTGACAATAATACCTCAGCAATAAGAAAAAGAAAATGGTTTAATTTTCAAATTACAGTTTTCTAGTTTTATCTCTGAGGCGACCAGGAAAACACTTTTGTTTTGTGAGTTTTCTATTATATTAAACAGTATCAGGACCTTAGTTGCATAACTGAGTTTGTGTTACTCTCCTTACCACATGTATTGGCGACTCGGCCCTCAGTGGGACAACACAGTGAGCCTAATGGAGACAGTTACCTGAGGCTGGGAGGAAGCGCCAGAAGCGAGACTCAGAATAGAGGGAGGAGGGTTACAATTAACTCTTTATCTTTGACCTAAAGCCTCTGTTTTCTTTGTTTTTTCTTCTTTTTTTTTGAGTAAGGAAAGGTTTATTGATCAAGAAGGCGCCTCTTCTTTCTAGTTAATGTGCTTGGTCAGCTCCAGTTTAGAAGACTCACTGTTCTGCAACACTGCTTTCTCTGCAGATTGAAAGAATACTGGGTGTCCGCCTGCAAGCTGGCCTCAGAGCTTGGACCCAGGTGCTTCTTGGACAAGCTGAAGATAAATCAGAAGTTGACATGGACACAGATGCGCCACAAGTTAGTCACAAGCCTGGTGGAGAGCCAAAGATCAAGGTGAGTATTTCCCAGAGCATCCCATGGAAGTAAATAAACCTCTGCCCTGAAACGTACCAATGAAAAAGCCTCTCACGATGGAAACCTGACAGACATCACCTCACCCGGTGACCCAGGCCAGCATCCCTCATGACGTTGTGTGGGACTGTGCGGTGTGATCACAGGGTGCCTCGCCCCCAGGATCTCGCCCAAATCACTCCGCTGCCTTGAGGGTCATTGGCACAATGCCTGACCAGTGCCCAGGTCAGGAGAGGGAGACGGGAGACTGGGAAGAGTCGTGGGATGGGCTCTGGATGAGAGCCTGCACGTGTGACAGCCTGTGTTCCAGGTCGGGGTGCTGGGTCAGTGTTAACTTCTTTGCTGTGGTCATCGTGCCATGGCCGGCTTCACGTCAGAGCAGGCTGGTGAAGGGCGCTTGGGAACTTCCTGCTTTCTTGGTGACTCTCCTGAAAGTCTAAACTTAGTTCAAAAACAAGTTTTTAACAAATGAAAAATAAATGTACACAAAAAAATAACCCTCTGCTTTCCAAGCACACGTGCAAGAAATCATTTCAGGGACTGAACGTAATCTCCAAGTGGACGTTCAGGCTATGACACTGACCCGTCCCTGTCTTCACACGAATCTGAGTGGGAACTGCATGGATGAGTCGGTAATAGCTCGGTGGTCACACCCTGGACACAGTCTGTCTCCAAGCGCCTGTTCACATTCCTGTGACAACGTGGTCAGTGGATCCTAGCAAGCTTTCTGGAAAATTCTGTCAATTCAAACTGTGCTAATAGGCCCTGTCTCCTGATGTGGGAGGTGGTCGGAGAGATGCGCACCTCATAGGAATTTCCTAAGTGCCGTGTTGTTTTATGTAGTTTGTGTAATTATCAGTAAGAAAGGTATCACGAATCAGAAGCCTAAAAGAATTGCAAGTAAAACTCTGACCTGGGGAAACATTTGGCTTTTTTTTTCCTTCCCAGACTTTACCTTCTCAGTTTTTTTTCTCTTAATGCTTGAAAAATGTTTTCACTTTTGAATATTATGGGTATTTATCCCCAGAGCATATTTTTTAAAATACAGTGGGGCCTTGACTTACGAGTTTAATTCGTTCCATGACGGAGCTTGTAACTCAAATTACTCGTATGTCAAATCAAAAAGTGAACGAGTGAGACACGTGATGCTGGGCTGATGTTGTGGCGTTCACTGTGACGTTCACTGCGCCAACTAGCGGTGGGGTATCTGAAGCTGGCTCGTAACCCGAATTTTAGCTCGAAACTCAAAGCAAAAAATCGGCCGAGAGACTGCTCGTATCTCGAAAAACTCGTTAGTCAGGACACTCATAAGTCAAGGCCCCACTGTACTGAGATTCAGGAAAGCAAATGAGTGTGTCTAGGTGATAGAGTCAGGTGGAGATGGGGCCGGAGTTCCTGACCAGCTCCCAGCACCAGCAGGTGGCACAGGCAGACCTGCCTCAGTGAGCAGGAGCCCAACCACGAATGCCAGCTCATGTCCCTGCTGCAGCCGTGCTGGGCTCAGGTGCACGGCCCAGCAGGTGGTGCCTCATTGAGCACCCAGGCATGGGGGACCTTCGGGAGTTCAGTCTGCTCTCCGACTTGCATCGCTGGGGAGGGCCCAGACCGCAAGCATGGCACTGCAGAAGATCGTGGTTCAGAGGGAAGCAGTTTAGTAACTTAGAGAAAGGGTGATGCATCAAAACCATTCTGTTGAAGCAGATCGCGGAGTAAGACATGAAATCTTTGCTTTTCAGAATGTCGTTCACGAGCTCAGAATAACCAATCAGGTCATCTACTTGAACCCACCCATCGAAGAGTGCAGGTACAAGCTGTATCAGGAGATGTTTGCCTGGAAGATGATCGTGCTGTCCCTCCCCAGGATCCAGAGTCAGAGGTACCAGGTGAGCCTCCTGGCCAGGCTGCCCAGTCTCTGCGACCACCTCTCCCCGGTCTCCTTAAATACAGCTCTTGGCGTCTTTTCAACTCCCGGCTTCAGGCCCTGCTCTCTAAGGGGAGAAGCCTGTGAGCCTGACTTTTCTCGCAGTAGTTACTTTTCCCAGTCGTTGCGTTTGCAGCTCAGGTCTCAGTGGCTCTTAGAAAGTCCCTCCATGATCAGTCGTTGCGTTTGCAGCTCAGGTCTCAGTGGCTCTTGAACTTGGGGAATTTTACTTCCTGCTTCTTTCCCCCACCCCCACTTTTTATTATGGGAGTTTGCAAACATCCGCACAAGTTGGGGGAATTTATATCACCTTGCTTTATTTATCAACACGTGGCCAATTTTGTTTCATTTGCATTCCCCTGCACACACCCCACCAGATTATTTTAAGACAACTCCCATAGAGCAAAGGAAAACTCTACCGACCACTTGGTCCTGCCTGGGCCTCTAGGAACAGGACTGGTGCTGTCAGATAAGCAGCTCCCACAGCCTCTGCTCTGACAGGCTTGTCTAGAGTGTAGTGGTCCTCTTAGGAAGTGTATCTCTTTCCTTAACTTTGAACACAAACTCAGTTTTTCAGAGATTTTTCTGCAGTAGCAGCTGCCCGGGAGCTCACAGTCTCGGCAGTTGTGGGCCCAAACGTGGCGACGTGCACCTGGGGGGAATGAGCTATGGGTGGTGCCTGCCCCTCAGGTCTGTGCCTGTGTTTCCCCTGCCTCTCGCCAGCACACTTGCGTTTGCAGTTCTCCTATTTGTCTCCTCTGGAACGCGATAACGCCAGCCCCTCTTGAGCACTGATCCCCGTACCCTGGGGCCCAGCAGTTCCTCCCTCTCTTCTCAGTCTTCCTGTCAGTGAATAAACTTGACCTCGTCCCCCTCCAGCCACCTAATTTTCCTGCTCCTCTTGGCAAACATGAAGAGCTGCCTTCATGGCTGCTCCTGGGCCGCTGCCCCTCAGGCGTGGTTGATCTCTTCCTTTTATTGGCTTGACGAATTAAATATAAGTAGGCTTCTGTCACTTGTGACTGGTAAGTAGATGTTGTCCCTTAAATGCCATTTTTATCGTGGGCTGGTCTTTCGGTTCATTTTTACTGAGAGGTGCCCCTGAGATGAGCAGTGTTGCACACGTGCGTTCATCTCCGGCTTTGCTTGGTCAGGTGGGCGTACATTACGAACTGACGGAAGAGGAGAAGTTCTATCGGAATGCTTTGACACGGATGCCGGATGGCCCCGTGGCCCTGGAAGAGTCCTACTCTGCAGTCATGGGCATCGTAACTGAAGTCGAGCAGTACGTCAAGGTAAGAAGCTCCCAATTTCCATCTTAGACACTCAGGAGCTTGAGATATAATGAATAGGAAGCTAAAAGGTCTTGACTAAATGTAATATGATTCAGTAGATATTTGCTATTTTAATGCAAAGAAAAATATTGGACAAATCTTACAAGGTATTATCATTTTGGAGGATTGTAAATTTTATTAATTTTTTAAAATATAGTTTTATTGATTTCAGAGAGGAATGGAGAGGGAGGGAGAGACAGAAACATCGATTATGACAGAATCATTGATTGGCTGCCCACACTGGGCATGTGCCCTGACCAGGAATCTAACTGTGACCTCCTGGTTTATAGGTCAACGCTCAACCACTGAGCCAAGCTGGCTGGGCAGATTTTATTCTTTTTTGATGTGAAAGTTCTGAGAATTTGGGAATTTTCTTAATGGTAATGAATGAACATGAACCTTTTTAACAGAACATGAAGATACGTATCAACATTCTACAGAATGAAAGGCCAAACTGTAGTCTGACTATGTTCTTGTCTGCAGGTTTGGCTCCAGTACCAGTGCTTGTGGGATATGCAGGCCGAGAACATCTATAACAGACTCGGGGAAGACCTCAACAAGTGGCAAGCTCTCTTGGTTCAGATAAGGAAGGCCAGAGGGACCTTTGACAACGCGGAAACCAAGAAAGAGTTTGGGCCCGTGGTCATAGATTATGGCAAGGTGAGCCCTGCTGGCTTGTTGAAAGGTGCCGGTCGCTCTAAAGGCGGCCTCTGGGTCTGGCTGAAACGGAGTGGGACTGCAGCATGCCTCTGAGGCAGACGCTCTGTCTTGTGCTCGCTCACTGCAGGTGCAGTCCAAGGTGAACTTGAAGTACGACTCCTGGCATAAGGAGGTTCTCAGCAAGTTTGGGCAGATGCTTGGATCCAACATGACAGAATTCCACACGCAGATCTCCAAGGTGAGGGGATGGGACCTGTCGGTGCAGGGGTCTGCGGGTTGATCTCGGCTCCAGCTGAGCGCTGTGCTCTCTCACAGTCTCGCCAAGAGCTGGAGCAGCACTCGGTGGACACCGCCAGCACCTCGGACGCGGTCACCTTCATCACCTACGTGCAGTCTTTGAAACGGAAGATCAAGCAGTTTGAGAAGCAAGTTGAGGTGAGTGAGTTCTAGGAGTAGTTAAAATTCTCACCGAGGGCTCTGACTCACCACCAGCCCTTGAGGCACGGCCACCGGTCATCTGTGTTGTCACCACCTGCTGTGCTTGTTAATGTGCACATGTGGCATCCAGGCATCTGCATTTTAGAGAGCTCTGCAGGGGGTTCCTCTGCACACCGAGGTCTGAGAACCACTGGCTGTTGATCTTCAAGTTATCAAACTTGAATTTCCTTTTTATAATTTGGGAGGGGGTGGGGTGGAGCAGCATGCAGAGGCCCTCTCCAGGGCCTTCGGGATGCAGCTAGGTACGTAGTGGGACTGCCAGGGGGGCTCTCGGGGCCCTGCCTCTGATCACAGCACCAGGGTGACCACCACCCAGGTGACCGCACACTCGGGGCGGGAGGCTTCTGGAGAAGGGCAAACGTATTGATGTTTTATATTTTGTTGCCACTGTGACTTCTCTACCATAGACCCTGATGGTAGTTTATTGTTGGTTGATCTCGGCTCCAGCTGAGCGCTGTGCTCTCTCACAGTCTCGCCAAGAGCTGGAGCAGCACTCGGTGGACACCGCCAGCACCTCGGACGCGGTCACCTTCATCACCTACGTGCAGTCTTTGAAACGGAAGATCAAGCAGTTTGAGAAGCAAGTTGAGGTGAGTGAGTTCTAGGAGTAGTTAAAATTCTCACCAAGGGCTCTGACTCAACACCAGCCCTTGAGGCGCGGCCACCGGTCACCTGTGTTGTCACCACCTGCTGTGCTTGTTAATGTGCACATGTGGCATCCAGGCATCTGCATTTTAGAGAGCTCTGCAGGGGGTTCCTCTGCACACCGAGGTCTGAGAACCACTGGCTGTTGATCTTCAAGTTATCAAACTTGAATTTCCTTTTTATAATTTGGGAGGGGGTGGGGTGGAGCAGCATGCAGAGGCCCTCTCCAGGGCCTTCAGGATGCAGCTAGGTACGTAGCTGGACTGCTAGGGGGGCTCTTGGGGCACTGCCTCTGATCACAGCCCCCAGGTGACCACCACCCAGGTGACCATGCATCCAGGTGACCGCACACTCTGGGCGGGAGGCTTCTGGAGAAGGGCAAATGTACTGATGTTTTATATTCTGTTGCCACTGTGACTTCTCTACCATAGACCCTGATGGTAGTTTATTGTTATTTATTATTGTTATGGAAGGAAAAATTTAATTTACTTCTTATCTCTCAAAGCTCTACCGCAATGGTCAGCGCTTGCTGGAAAAGCAGAGGTTCCAGTTCCCTCCCTCCTGGCTTTATATTGACAACATCGAGGGCGAGTGGGGGGCCTTCAATGACATCATGCGGCGGAAGGACTCTGCCATTCAGCAGCAGGTGGCAAACCTGCAGATGAAGATCGTCCAGGAGGACCGGGCCGTGGAAAGCCGCACCACCGACCTGCTGACCGACTGGGAGAAGACCAAGCCCGTCACGGTGAGTCTTGCCCCACGAACCGTAAACCAGCAGCATGACCTGGTGTCTATCTTCAGACTAAAAGGCCTGGCCCTGGCTTTGCTTTCTGATGATGAAGACTTTTTCTTTTGTCATGAAGAAAGCAAAACTTAACAGATAGGATGGTTGGAAACTTGAGCGCCAACTTCCATCTCTTGACCCAGAACCCCTCCCTCATGACAGTCCCTTCAGTCAGGAGATGGTTTTAAAGATTTTCTGTTCTTACATTATCCTCTGAAACAAACTCAAAAATTGGAATTTAATTTCTCGTGGACACAGGCCGAGCCTCATGCTGCTGCAGGCTCTCTGTCTGTCATCGACGTCACAGTTAGTAACTGTCTGTACCCAAGAGGACCTGCCATCTCCGGTCCTCTTGGCTCATCCGGTATTTGTCGAGTTCCCCTGTGTTCCAGGCGTCCTGTGGGCATCGGGATACAGCAGTGAACAGAAAGACAGGAGGCTCCCTCTCGGAGCCACGCTCCCAGGGGAGAGACGGATGATAAATCCGGGCAAGGAAGCATGTACTTAGTCTTGGTGCCATGTGCTGTGGGAAGGTGGGCCCATGGGAGAGGGTGTGGGTGGTGTGCTGCTGTCAGGGGAGGTGCCATCTGCAGGGAGCCCAGACGAGGGGAGCTGGCAAGTCCTACAGGGGTTAGGGGTCCAGGCCGAGGGGAGCGCATGTGAGGCTGGGTGAGGATCACGACGGAGATGAAATCTCACTCGTTTGGGAATGTGATGTGTGTAAGCACAGACCAGAAGGGTGTTCGTGCCCTGCATGTTAGCCTGGTCTCGTAGTGTGAGGATACAGGTTTTCCACAGCAGGCCTGCCTGGTGGCTGGGGTAGCCTCCCACCATCCATCAGGCATGGCTCTGCCTGCCCTCAGCCCTGTCCCAGCAGATGGGCCCGGACGTCCTTATTTGTGTTTGACTTTGGTTCGGGAGCCCTGGTTCTGAGGACTCTGCAGAATGCTGGTTCTAGTGAGGGAGTGAGCACTGGTCACCCACACCTGAATGGCTCTCCCCGTCACCTTGCTGGTGATGTGTCGTAGTCAGGACTGTAACGGACGTTTTAGTCATTCCCAAGGTCATTAACGTGGAAGGAAGTGTATGGAGGGTGCGAATGCTGAGCGGAGGCCATCCCAGGGAGAGCGACGCATGGTTTCTCGGGCTTCTCTCAGGAGCCGATGGGACAGCTGCCTGTCGGGGAGGGTGTGGCTGCAGGCCCCCCAGATCCAGTGTCCCCAGGTCAATCTTCTCTCCCGTCCCCCAGGGCACGTCGTGAGCTGATGGCTGAACTGAGAGGCATCCCACCTTCCTTCCTTACATTTTTATTTGTCAGATGTGGGTGTAAGCATGGCACTCAGAACTGTAACCACAAGTGTCCAGGACTCCAGCAGGCTCCCTGCCCCCCTTGGAGCCGCAGCGTCCATCTGTCCTGGACACAGCCTGCAACTCCCTGCTCTGTCCGCTTTTAGGGCAATCTCCGCCCGGAGGAGGCGCTGCAGGCTCTCACCATCTACGAGGGCAAGTTCGGCAGGCTGAAGGACGACCGGGAGAAGTGTGCGAAGGCCAAGGAAGCGCTGGAACTGACGGACACGGGACTCCTGAGCGGCAGCGAAGAGCGTGTCCAGGTACGAGCCACTGCGGAGAGGCCGGGACGCGGCTCCTCGTCCTGACTCTGCCCTTGACCCGCTGCATCCTGACACGGTCTGTTTCCAGTCTCACTGCCTTACTGTTCTTACTCACAGGTGGCCCTCGAGGAATTACAGGATCTCAAGGGCGTTTGGTCGGAACTCTCCAAGGTCTGGGAGCAGATTGATCAGATGAAGGAGCAGCCGTGGGTGTCGGTGCAGCCTCGGAAGGTACATCTCAGTAGTGTCTGTGTGTGCCTGCAGGCCCTGGGAGTTACAGGTTTCCTTAGAGACCCACCAACAGGGAGCTCACAGGAACTCACCTAACCCCTGTGTGTCATCTGCACCGCTCATCCACCTAATCTAACGTTTCTTTTACAACCATCTTTAACACGGAGAGGAATGCTGGCTAACTGGGGATCATGGTTTTTCTCGCGACAGCTTCGGCAGAATTTGGATGGCCTCCTGAACCAGCTGAAAAACTTCCCCGCCCGCTTGCGGCAGTACGCGTCCTACGAGTTCGTCCAGCGGCTCCTGAAAGGCTACCTGAAGGTGGGTGACGGGCCCTGCAGTCGGGGGGCCCACTGGGAAGCGCTGCCGGGTGACCTGCTGGCTCTCCACAGATCAACATGCTGGTGATCGAGCTGAAGTCCGAGGCCCTGAAGGATCGCCACTGGAAGCAGCTGATGAAGAGGCTGCACGTGAACTGGGTGGTGTCGGAGCTCACCCTCGGGCAGATCTGGGACGTCGACCTGCAGAAGAACGAAGCCATCGTGAAGGATGTGCTGCTCGTGGCGCAGGGGGAGATGGCGTTGGAGGAGTTTTTGAAGCAGGTGAATTCCGGGACTGGCCGCACCTCGTGTCACGTTTCAGGCTGCTGCGTAGACTCGCGCTGTGTAACAACGGAGCCCCATCCGGGGTCCTCTGTCCCTGTCACTCGGTTGCTGTGCAGGTGGTGAGTGCCCACACAGTGATGACCTGCGTCTCTGGTTTTGGTGCAGATAAGAGAAGTGTGGAACACGTACGAGTTAGACTTGGTTAACTACCAGAACAAGTGTCGCTTGATTCGCGGCTGGGACGACCTCTTCAACAAGGTCAAAGAGCACATCAACAGCGTCTCTGCCATGAAGCTGTCTCCATACTACAAGGTACCGTGTGGGGAACGTCCCCTCCCCTCAGGCTTCCCCTGCTCTGGCCCTGCAGTGCCTCGGAGGCAGTCCTGGCCTGCTGGTGCATGAGCCAGGTAACCGGGCGGGTCTTGCCCTGCGTTCTCCGTGAGGCTGCGTGTCTTCTGGGAATGGGAGTGAGTGGTTGAGCTCTTCCTTCCATCTGCCCACCAGGTTTTCGAGGAGGACGCCCTGAGCTGGGAAGACAAGCTGAATCGCATCATGGCCCTCTTTGACGTGTGGATCGACGTGCAGAGGCGCTGGGTCTACCTGGAAGGCATCTTCACGGGCAGCGCGGATATCAAGCACCTGCTGCCCGTGGAAACCCAGCGGTTCCAGAGGTAGGGCCTCCCCATAGGTGAGGCGGGCTGGGAGCCACTCCTCACACCAAGGCTGACCTCGGCTTCCACCCGACTTGTAGCATCAGCACGGAGTTTTTGGCGCTCATGAAAAAAGTATCCAAGTCTCCCCTGGTGATGGATGTTCTCAACATCCAGGGGGTGCAGAGGTCTCTGGAGAGGCTGGCAGACCTGCTGGGGAAGATCCAGAAAGCACTGGGCGAGTACCTGGAAAGGGAGCGGTCATCTTTCCCCAGGTAAGCCTTCCGCTGTGCTGCTGCCAGCCTCCCCTCCCTCTGGGCCTGTGGCAGTCACTTTAATGTCAAGGGTTTTGTCACCGATCATCCATTTAATCAGCACCATTTCCCTTTCACGCACTGATTCCTAAGTGTAACAGATAATCCTTAATTTCCTACCTGGATTTGTTTGCTAGGCTTCCTTTAACCTTCTCCACCTTCCAGGCAGCTTGCATTGCTTACAGATTTAGTGCTGGTTATTTTCTAAGTGGCATCGCTTTTCTGAATAATGTGCTTAGCGTAAATCAGACAGGTTTTTAAAAACTGAGTTTGTGAAGTAAGGTGCGTGATGTCAGATTTATTGAATTCCTCTTTGGTGTATTAGGTGAGGGTGGACGTTTGCTGGGGGAAGGGGGTGGTTTGGGTGTGACCAGTCCAGGCTGAGGCTGGACAAGTGCGTGATGTCAGATTTATTGAATTCCTCTTTGGTGTCTTATTAGGTGAGGGTGGACGTTTGCTGGGGGAAGGGGAGTTTGGGTGTGACCAGTCCAGGCTGAAGCTGGACAGCACCTGCAGTCTGGCCTTGTGCCCTGGTTCCCCTTATTTGTTTCTGTGTAACATCTGAGGAATACGGATGCTGTTTCCATTCTAGGTTCTATTTTGTGGGTGACGAGGATTTGCTTGAAATCATTGGAAACAGCAAGAATGTCGCTAAGTTACAGAAGCACTTCAAGAAGATGTTCGCCGGCGTTTCCAGCATCATCCTGAACGAGGACAACTCTGTCGTCCTGGGCATTTCATCCCGAGAAGGAGAGGAGGTAGTTCGCTGGGGCCAGCCTCTTAGAAAGCTTCTCTCCCGTTTTCGCACACCTTAATTCTTAGATTTCACTTATTTCAGGTTATATTTAAAACTCCCGTGTCAATTACCGAGCATCCCAAAATCAACGAGTGGCTCACGCTGGTGGAGAAGGAGATGAGAGTCACATTGGCCAAGCTCCTGGCTGAGTCTGTGACGGAGGTTGAGATTTTTGGTAAAGCCACTTCAATCGACCCCAATACCTACATCACTTGGATCGATAAATACCAGGTAACACAGTGTAGATGTGGGGTGGGCTATAGGTGAGGGCAGGCTGATCTCTAAAACAACCCTCTTGGACCTTGTGTCTCGTGTCTTTCAGGCCCAGCTTGTGGTTTTGTCGGCCCAGATAGCCTGGTCTGAAAATGTGGAGACAGCCCTAAGCAGCACGGGCGGGAACGGGGACGCAGCAACCCTGCAGTCCGTGCTGAGCAACGTGGAGGTCACCCTCAACGTGCTGGCCGACTCAGTCCTCATGGAGCAGCCCCCGCTGCGCCGGCGGAAGCTGGAGCACTTGGTCAGTCCCGTGCCCGACTCATTCCCTCCCTGTTCGGCTCCGTGCCTTCAACTCAGGCAGTTGAATCCTTTTTGGAAAATTTTCTATTTGCACCAGGGAGAACAGTAGTTAGCAGACGGATGTGCCCTGGAGTGGGTATAGGGCTCTGTGTCCCCCCCTGAAAATAATCTGGGTGGAGCACAGGGGTTATATATGCGACATCCTCCTGGTGAAAGGGAGGTGGTGCCCTTGACCTGAGTCTTGCACTCCTCGTCTCCTTCCAAGGAGGCGCGGAGGCAGTCGGCAGGCCTGGTGAGGTGGGCAGGGCTCTGCGCCCCCAGTGCAGCAGAGAGACGGCTGGGACAGGGACAGCTGTTCTCCCGATGGGGTGTATGCTGGTTGCAGAGTTTGTACTTAGCAGGTGTTTCGTGTTCGTTGCCGCTGTTGACTCTAATCACACTGATGACCAGCGTTTCTGAAAGTGAATTAGCACCTGGGAGTGTAGTGAAGACAAACTCAGCTCTGCGTGTCGGTCTCCCAAATAATCCACACGCCCAGAGGGCACAGCACTGCTCAGCCATGACGAGCTCTCGCGGGCTCTCTCTGCAGATTACAGAGCTGGTTCACCAGAGAGACGTCACCCGGGCCCTGATCAAAAGCAAGATCGACAACAGCAAGTCTTTCGAATGGCTCCGCCAGATGCGGTTTTACTTCGACCCCAAGCAGACGGACGTGTTACAGCAGCTGTCCATCCAGATGGCAAACGCCAAGTTTAACTATGGCTTTGAGTACCTGGGAGTCCAGGACAAGCTGGTGCAGACGCCCCTCACTGACCGCTGCTACCTGACCATGACGCAAGCCCTGGAGGCCAGGCTGGGCGGGTCTCCGTTTGGTAAGTGACTCCACCATCCTGGACGTCATTTTAAAGATTGAATGATTTCAGTGTATTTAAATCATCACATATATTTCCTAAGCACGTGGCTACTGTGTTCTAAAAACTAAATTTGTCTTCATTTTTTATATCTACTTTTTAAAACGAATTGCTTTTTACAGTTGTCTTAAAGATATAGCTGAGTCCCACTGAGTGATGGACTCAGGCACTGAGTCGCCTTCTTCCTGTAACAGGGCCTGCTGGGACCGGGAAGACCGAGTCTGTCAAGGCCCTTGGCCATCAGCTGGGACGCTTTGTTTTGGTTTTCAACTGTGACGAAACCTTTGATTTCCAGGTGAGCAGCTTTGTGGGGTCCACGCAAAATTGGATGGCCTGAGAGGGTCAGGTGGGGATACCGTGCTTGCTCCTCTCAAAGCTGACGTCCTTGTTGCCCAGCGGGGCCTCCGAGGCCTTTGGGGACGGGAGCTTTCGGTCCCCACCTGTGCTTCGACATTGAGCTTCGTGTTTTCAGAGTCCCCTCATTAGTGCAGCATACCGCTTTTCTTAAAGAAGGGGTCCTAAACGCAGGTTATGCAGAAAGTTCTTAAAGCCCTGGCTGGCTTGGCTCAGTGGATAGAGCGTTGGCCTGCGGACTGAATGTTCCCGGGTTCGATTCCAGTCAAGGGCACATGCCCGGGTTGCGGGCTCGATCCCCAGTGTGGGGCATGCAGGAGGCAGCCGATTAATGATTCCCCCTCATCATTGATGTTTCTATCCCTCTCTCCCTCTCCATTCCTCTCTGAAATAAATTTAAAAAGTATATATATTTTTTTAAAAAAATGTTTTAAGCAACAGAAAGTGATAAAATACAAATGACAGCTTTGTCATTAGGACTTGGGCACAAGAGGAAAAGGGGTGAGGGCCCCTCTGCCCACTAAGGACCCTCTTGTTGAAGAAGCTCTTGCTGTGGCAGGCGGGCCCTCGCCTCACTGTGAGCCTGATTACATCTTCACAGCCACCTTGGGCGGGAGGTGCTCTTAGTCCCACGTCAGAGATGAGCAGACGTGGGTTCCCAGATGGCGTTTGCCCAGGACCGGGTCGGACAGGTCACCGCAGGCAGGATTTGAGCCAGCGCTGCGGCAGCTGGTTTTAGCGCCCTCGTTGCTGTTTCAGGCGATGGGACGCATCTTTGTGGGCCTTTGCCAAGTGGGAGCGTGGGGCTGCTTTGACGAGTTCAACCGCCTGGAGGAGCGGATGCTGTCGGCCGTGTCCCAGCAGGTGCAGTGCATCCAGGAAGCGCTGCGGGAGCACTCCAACCCCAACTTCGATAAGAGTAAGGCTTCCCTCCTCCACGGCCACTCGGAATGTGGGGGGAATGCCACTGGGGGCGGCTTTGATCAGAAGTGAGGGAGCATTTCATTCGCTCCAGGACTCACTGTTGCAGGCAGGATGCAGATGGAAGGGAAGCCCAGGGCATCTCCGCATCAGCAGTTTGCATGGCTTGTCCCAGAGCAGCCCAACCCGAGCATCCCCGTGCCCCTCCCACAGCGTGTGCCTGTGTGAACCCGGGGTGCTCCCCCTCCCTCCCCGGAGCCAGCCTTCCTCGCCACCTGTCTGGCCAGGGTTCCGTGGAGCTTGGGGAATGAGGTCACGATAGGAGCGCCTGCAGAGAGCTCCGAGGGCTGCATCACTGCCAAGGGAGAGGCACATCAGGATGAGTGCACCCACGTGGCGATGTTGGGTAGTTCTGTGCACAGTTAACTTGCAGTGTTTCCTTTTATCCCAGAATAACAGTAACTTGTCGTATGAAACAATGTCCAGACCTCCTACATAAAGCAGATAGAATCAGCGAAATCAGTGCCTGGAGCAGGTGCATGCCACCCCGCAGGCTCAGTGTGGGGTGTTTTTAACTATCCTCACAAAGGGTAACTGGTGACCGAAGCCAGCCAGTCGTGTCACTTGGGTTGGTTTCATTTCTGCAACCATCCTTAGACTGCATCGCTAGCCGAGCGTTGGCCTGTGACACATAGTGTCACACACCTAGAGCAGGGCTTCCTGCCTGGGGTTGATCTGTTCCACAGTCGGACACGTCCGTGGGTGAGGTGTGGGGAGATGGTGCCTGCGGAGAGGCCTCGAGCAGCTCCCTGCATCCCTGGGCTGTGTGCTTCGAGGCCAGCGGGGAAATGGTGCTTGGTAATTTTAGAGAGATTTTTAGATAGTTTTTGAACATCATGAGTCTTGACGCTCTCCCCCGATTTTCAGCCTCTGCCCCCATTACTTGTGAGCTGCTGAACAAACAAGTCAAGGTGAGCCCGGACATGGCCATCTTCATCACCATGAACCCTGGCTACGCGGGCAGGTCCAACCTCCCAGACAACTTGAAGAAGCTGTTCCGGAGCTTGGCCATGACCAAGCCCGACCGGCAACTGATTGCCCAGGTCATGCTGTACTCACAGGGCTTCCGCACGGCCGAAGTCCTTGCCAACAAGATCGTCCCCTTCTTTAAGTGAGTGACTCATTGATTCATAATCGCATTTCTAGCTGGTGCCCAACGTGCTCATTTAAAAGTTTACCTCCAATTACGGTGCATCTTGCATAATATTCTCACGTTTCCTGACTCGGCACTTGTTACATAAGTGCACGGTTTTTAGAAGACGCTTTCTTTTCTAGGCTGTGTGATGAGCAGCTCTCTTCTCAGAGCCATTACGACTTTGGGCTTCGAGCTTTGAAGAGTGTGCTGGTGAGTGCGGGTAACGTGAAGAGAGAGAGGATTCAGAAGATAAAGAGGGAGAAGGAAGAACGAGGCGAAGTAGTGGATGAAGGAGAGATTGCAGAAAATCTACCTGAACAGGAGGTTTGTCCACATGTCCTCTCAGCCACTGAAACCTTGGGCACTGGTTAAACTTTCCTTCCACATTGAACCACGCGGGAGCGCTCGGTGCGGTGCACTGCAGGGGCGGGCGACGTTCACAGGGTGCGTGGCTGTGAGGGGCTCAGCCAGACATGCAGTGCGACGTGCTCGCCCCTTCTCCCACGCAGATTCTGATCCAGAGCGTCTGTGAGACGATGGTGCCAAAGCTGGTGGCGGAAGACATCCCGCTGCTCTTCAGTCTCCTGTCGGACGTGTTCCCCGGCGTCCAGTACCACCGCGGGGAGATGACCGCACTGCGGGAGGAGCTGAAGAAAGTGTGTCAGGAGATGTACCTGACGTATGGAGACGGGGAAGAAGTTGGCGGAATGTGGGTTGAAAAGGTACCTGGGATTGTTCTGTTGAAAACAAAAGGTTGTTGGTTCCATTCCCGGTCGGGGCACATGGAGGCAACCCATTGATGTCTGTCTGTCTGTCTGTCTCTCTCTCTCCCCCTCTCCCCCCTCCTCCCTCTGAAAACATATCCTCTGGTGAGGATTAAAAAAAAGAAAGTTCTAGTACGTGCCTTTAAGATGCCACACCGCACATTTCTTGCTGTTGACACGGGAAGTGGCTGGAGAAGCTCGCTCCTCTTTCTGGAAGGTCACGTGCTGTGTGTCTGCCCGCAGGTCCTCCAGCTCTACCAGATCACCCAGATCAACCACGGCCTGATGATGGTGGGGCCCTCGGGGAGCGGGAAGAGCATGGCCTGGCGCGTTCTTCTCAAGGCTTTGGAGAGACTCGAGGGGGTGGAAGGCGTTGCCCACATCATCGACCCCAAGGCCATCAGCAAAGACCACCTGTACGGGACCCTGGACCCCAACACCAGGGAATGGACCGATGGGCTGTTCACACATGTCCTGAGAAAGTAAGTCGCTCGGTCAGTGAGTCCCAGTGGGACCTGGCGCTCTGCAGCCTAAGTCTGAGCCAGTGACACAGTCAGCTGAGAAACCATCACAGGGCGAGCATGTAAAAGCTAACCCCAGTGAGTCCCAGCTGTGACCCTCCCACAGGATCATCGACAACGTGCGGGGCGAGCTGCAGAAGCGCCAGTGGGTCATCTTCGACGGCGACGTGGACCCGGAGTGGGTGGAGAACCTGAACTCGGTGCTGGATGACAACAAGCTCCTGACTCTGCCCAATGGCGAGCGCCTCAGCCTCCCACCCAATGTAAGCACTTCCTCTGTCGCGGCCCGTCCCATCCCAACTGCAGACCGAGTGCCCGCAGAGCCCGGCCCTGGAGACGCTTCCGGGGGGAGCAGCTGGTTGTGCAGATACCTCAGTCAGCCTGCACGCTGGGTATTCACGCCCAGGGCTAGTGAGAAGCGTCTCACAGGGCTTATACGTAACTCTCCACGATCTGAATATTCAGCACATTCAGCCCGTCCTACGACCCCGTGAGTGGGATTGGAGGTAGGGTTGCTGAAGTTACTGTATATGAGAAGGTGGCACCTGAGGGATTCAGATAGCAACGCTGTCATGGCCATCCCTGGGGGTGAGCATTGGATCGGGCCCTGAACACACCGCCTGCAGACGTGGAAACGTGGGCAGGCCTGGCAGGGGTTCACGTTCATTCTTGACCCAGCGTTTTTGGAGCCGTTGTGTGCGGCCCGTTCTAGATGCTGAGTGTGCAGGAATAAAGAGCATGGACAGAACCCTTGTAGTCCTGGGGCTCACAGTCGCTGGGAAGACAGATGGGCAGGAGAAGAGGCGATGGTGTGAACAGAAAGGATGCTGGGAGAGGGCGGGCGGTGTTGGTGGCAGGTGGAGGCTGCCCTGTTGGCTGGGGCGGCCAAGGCGTCACTGGGAAGGTGGGTCTTAGTAAGGATTGAGGGGTGAGAGGAGCCTTCTGGGCGTTCTGGGTGAAGGGACAGGTGGCAGGAGAAGTGGCAGGTGCTGGTGTGTGCGAGGGAAGCAAGGGGCAGCAGCTGGCGTGGAAGAACGAGGGGAGAAGGCAGTGAGATCACAGAGGACATGGGCCTCTGGGTCCTTGTGAGGACTGAGCCTGCCCGCCGGGTGAGCTGGAAGCATGGAAGAGTCTGGACAGTGTCACTGTTGTTGCCAAAGACCCCTCTGGCTGCTGGTTGGAGGACAGGCTGGGAGCAAGGGGACCTTTGGAGGCTGCCTGGCACCAGGCAGAGCCGTGGGGGTGGGTCGGAAGCGAAGGCGTAGGGAGTGGCCGATGGACCACCAGAGGCAGGTGTGAGAAAGGAGGAGCGGAGCATGACCGAGGTGCTTGGCCGCAGCAGCTGTGCCC